CGAGCACCACCACCACCACCACCACCACCACCACCACCACTAGCACGCCGCCGCCACCTCCGTCATCCAGACGCATAATCAAGACTCATCAGGAGACGGACATCCCGGACAATCTGCTCAGTCTAATTCAGGACCAAGAGAGTCGATTTGTGCAGCAGGGCAAACCGAAGCCCCAGATCAAAGTGATCTATCAGACCGACAGGCCCAGCACAACGAAGCAGAACTCCGGCGCAAGAAGCAAGAACTCTCAGTCCGCTGCCGAGAGAGAACTGTTGCTGAAGCAACTCAGGCTTGCTCTGGCACAGTCTGCCGATGACGACGACGCCGTCAGGAATGTCACCACCCGGGATCTCGTATTGCCGAACGGCAAGAAGATTCAAGTTATTCATGCGCCGAACGGTTTGTCCTCCATCGTGCCATCAGCCGGAAACACCGTTGAGACTTCGATTCTGCCGTCTCCGACTACGACTACTATCAAGCCGCCGAAAGCCATCTTTGAGGAATTGACGAAGGGCGGCGTGCTACCGCCGGGCGCCGATTTCGAGATCATCCGGCAGAAGAGCGACGGTAAGCTCGAGGAAGTCGGCAAGACGCCGATCATTCAGAATCTGCCGGCGAAGAAGGTTACGTTTGTCGTTCTCGAGGAGCAAGCAGACGGCAGTTACAAAGTGCAGGGTGTCAAGGGCAACGCCAATGATAAGGAGAGCGGCACCGATGTCGAGTCCATCGTCGAGAGAATCAAGAAAGGCGAGCTGAAGCTGCCGCCCAGCTCGCTCGGACCGTCCACTCCGTCCACCACTCTGGAGCATTTCGAGTCCAGCATCAATCCGAATCTAGTGGTGTCCACTGGAACATCCAGGACACCTCTTCACACCATCAGCACGACAGCGTCGACCTTCAGACCAACCACCATCAGATCCACGTCGACCAGGCACAGTGAAAGGTGAATGTCATAATTATTCGCATGTAAACATAATTTTTTTATCTAAATAATTATTTGGATTGACAACTAAAATTTTTATTTCAATCGAAATAAATGATGAAGCGTTTCCACTGAACAAGCTACTGATTGTTAAGACATAACTCATTCAATTTTGCTATTGCGTTTGAATTCGTCTTTTTCACTTTCTATCAATTTGTATCGAAAATGATATCAGATGGGAGATTCTGAAGGGAGAAAATAAAATTTTCAGCAGCTTTCCCTATGTCACGGTGTCGCCAAACTCAGTGTCCACGACTGACAAGTACGTGACCTCGGCGACCAGCGTCACGGGTCACGTATATAACACTGTGAACACCAATCCGACGAAGACGAGCTTGTCCGACCACATACCGCGAGTGACGACCAAGTATCCGTCGTCCAGCAGAAGCCCGTTTATCCCGACGATGGCGCCCGTGAAAGAGATCGTGACGACGGCGATCACACCGACGACTTTCTCGCATCACACGACTTCTTACAGCCACTTCTCCAGACACCCGGACACCTCGTCGACGTTGAGAGTATCGCCGCAGGGCAGCTCGCAGAGCGAGAACATCGTTTATCAAGATGAGTTCGAGAGGACTACCGCATTGCCTTCGACAGAGGATGCCATCGGGACTCAAAGTCCGCAGGAAAGTCTAGCCGCGTTGTTGAGAGGAGAGGGTCTCTTTGCTATGGCGAAATACCTGAGGCAGTCGGGATTGGATAACGTGTTGAACGAAACTGGTAAGTTGCGTGTCACTTGTTAATTTAGTTAATAATTTGTGAGGCTTAATGAGAACGTTAACAATAGAAAACAGATATTTAAAAGAATAAAATTTTCTGTTTTATTTAAAAAAATAGGAATTTCAGAAATTTTCAATCCTCACATAATTTGCATCATCAAAAGTTAACGTAGGCAGAGTTTTTATAAGCGATTTTTTATCATCGTGATATCAATTCAGTCATTCCAATATCAATTAAAAAAGAACCAATTAATTAATTTCAATACAATCTTCTACAATTCTAAAAAATACAATTTAAGTACGAAATAAAAATAATGTTTCAACACAATATGATAATGGCATTTGACAATTATACTCTATTTGGGAAAGAAATTAATAAATTCGCGTAACGAGATAGAATATTAAATAGCGTTAAATATTATACTACAGTTTTGCAAAACACACTTTCTGCAATGGTGCAAAACCACCGCAGTCTTATCCAACAATGTTGCAAGGCGGGTTAACTTATGTCAAAACTTTTCTGGCCCAAACGGTTGTACAAACGATCCCCCGTCGGTGGCGAGATAGGCCGTGCCTCTTTTGCACAATCTACCACCATTTGTATTTCGCCTTAATCTCGCTTTAGTCGTGCAACGTTTGTTAGAAAAATGTTCTCACGACTCGTTGCCCATTTCGACACAGTCGTCTCTCTGCCTTACGAGAACAAAGAGGAGGCGTTACGCGGGATCTCGCGAAGAAAAAACGCGATTTAATTACTCGTTATAGTTATTCGCGTGACAGCTCGCTTAATACATTGCTTTAGACTTTCGAATTTCAATTTAACTGATTCTTTTTAATTAAATGAGATTGAAATAAATTTATTTGATAAGTTAAACATAAAAGAATTATGGCGATATCGACGTGTTACATGAAAGTGATAGTCACGCTTCTTTGCGCGTTACGCTCGCAATGTAAAATTCATAATTCTGAAACACGAAGAATTCAGTTCAAGTTAAACCTCTTTATAACATATAAGTACGTCGATCCTTTCACGCGCTCCTTCGGCCATAAACAATTTGCATTAAACGGTCGATTACACTACTCCGATTAATGTCTGCTGGGCATGTTTCGTTTATTTAGAGATAAACTTTTATAAAGAAAATACTACAGTCCTTTTTTGTCACTAATATACTAACAATTTTATTGACCGCGTTCGCACGCTTGTTAAAAAAATAAAGCCGCTGTGATCTTCGTGTGAACAGCACGATTTCCTTCAGCGGTCCCCCGTCAATAGTTCCGTTCGATTGCGGATGCAATTATCGGTCTGAAACATTGTGCAACTTTACCACATTTTCCAATGACATGCTTTTCCTTCCACGATCATTATAGGACGATAGACTCATGTGTATGTACAACTAACATGTCAGAAACATATGGAAGAGAATGTCTAGTGAACAAAGCGTAATCACATATATAATTAATTGCAAAAAACTATTTGTATCTGTCAAACGACATACAACAATGATTGTATAATATATTTCTTATGTTTATTTCATAAGATGAAATTAGCGAGGCGTAAACATTAACTTTCTAATTTGTAACATCGTATACATATTTATTTAATTAAAATTCTACTAACGTTCAATTGAAATTCATCGACGAATACGATTTTGTCATTCTTTTTTTGTTGAAATTTAATTTGCTATTTTACTTTTGATTGTTAATCACTCGGAGATTATAGGTTTTAATATTTTTGAAAAGATTGATTCAACGAAATAATTGATTAAAAGAATTTGAAGTGGTTTAAAGAGAAATTTATAATCAATTCAATATTTAATACATTATTTTCTATTTAACATTATTTGCAGGTCCATACACTATATTCGTCCCTACAGACAAGGCTTTCAGGACGTTATTGGTGCAATTGGGAGGACCAGAGAAAGCTGAGCAAAAATTCCATGATAATCCGAGACTTCTAAGTGGGGTACGCGCTATATAAGCCATCATTAATAATTTATCTATAGCTAACGGTAGATATCTAACGGCTGATTTCACTAGCCAATTAGTCAATCGTATAATTGAACTAACGTATTGAACCATACTTGATTCATCATTTTTTAGAAGTATAATTGAAAACGTGAAGACTTATTAAGCCAAGTGTAAAATTAATTGACCTTAATCAAATAAATTATGAAATGTAACAAGTATTTATAGGGATTCTTTATATTGATAATATTTCGAAATTTTATACTAACGAGAATTTCTTTTATAACAGCTTCTTCTTCATCACGTCATTCCGGGAGCCTTCAAGATTGAGTCCCTGCAAGACGAGATGACCGGCGTCAGTCTTGCTGGAACGCAGTTGCGAGTGAACGAGTATGCGATGCAGGATCACGAATGGAACGATGTAAAAGTAATTTTATATTTTAGAGTGTCACAATTTAGATAATATTTTCTTCATTTTTATGAAATTATTTGCTTTATATTTTATTTATTGATTTAAAAGAAATTATTAAGTCGTTAATTTAATCTACAGAATCGTTTATCAAGAAATCGATTATTTTCTAATTCAAATTTTTTTCTAAATTTTCTAATTCAACGCGGCATTATTTTCATAAGCGCCCACTGCATTAATTCATGTCTGTCTTTGTGTGATCCAGTTTATTGACCTTCATGAATATATTAAAAATTTTCCTTCATTTAATGAATATGCTGAATGTTGCGGAATTCTGTCACGTAGTCCATTTTTTGCAAGACGAGATGTTCACTTAACATACATAAAATGGTCCAGAATTTGATGCGCCCATATTATATACGATTGTTCCACTTTACATACATTATTCATTTATTCCAATTTTGTATTGTTTGCAAATAGATAACAACAATAAACGGAGCGCGTGTCGCGCCTAATAAACGGGACATTGAGATTCCTCAAGGTATCGCTCATGCCGTCGACAGGGTCATGTTCCCTCTTCCGGTCGGAGATTTGGTGCAAACTCTGCAAGCCGATCGCGAGAGGAGGTTCACCAAATTCCTTAGAATGCTCCACGTGTCGGGCTTAGAGGACACGCTCGCAGGTAAATTGAAAAATCAAGCTAAGAGATAGCATTTCAATTCGTATATATGCCTTTGCTATATTTTTGTTTCGTAAATGTTGTGGACTATCTAGAATTTTCATGATTGTTTCCATTGTTTAATATTTTAATATAAACTGGTTTTCCAGGACCGAAGACATTCACCATCTTCGCACCGACCGATTCCGCTTTCACCGATTTAACGAAGAACGGCGCCCCAATTTGGACCGAAGAGGACGGCCCAGAAGCGGCAAAAACGATAATTTCGCGACATGTGGTTCCCACCACTCTTTACACAGCGGGAATGAGGTATTACATTCAGAAGGATACCCTCCGTCCGCAATCACCGGTTCACATCCACAAAAATGGCGGTAAATATGATTGAATAAATTATTAGTTTATGTTTATTTGCTCTTTATAGTGCATGTTCCAATAATAAAACTCGTCACGCATTAATATTTTCAGTCATCTCTCAACGCATTATATTATCATAAAAATAAATGGCATCAAATGGTAGTTTTTCAGATAATTCAGATGATGCATTATTGTTTCAGGACGAGTACGAGTAAATGAGGCACACGTTGTAACGCATAACGTGCCAGCGACGAACGGAGTGTTACATGCTATCGACGGTGTTTTGTAAAATGACAAAATGTAATAAATATAAGTTAATCGAACCACAGCATAGGCTGCAATCACGCAGGTGAGATCTTAATATCTTCGTAATGTTAAGTGTATGTACAATTTCTCGAAAAGTTGAAGAACTCGATATAGCAAATAGGCATAAATTCCCTGCGTGAGTGCGATGGAATGTACGATTAAATTTGATTATATCAAAATGATTAATGTAATCGTGCTCGCCGCATCATGATTGGATTCAGTCATTGATAAATTGACACATTATGCCATAGGTGTCGTAAAATCGGAGGAAAAAAATAACGAGACCATTTTTAATGTATATGTATACATATTAATTTATATAAGGTAGGCATACATTAGAGATTCGTGCACTTGTGCCATACGCACAAGAGTACGAAGAATTAATCGCTATTGTATAGAATGGTAACGCAATACCATGTTTAGTATTATTTTGTAGTTCATATTTTATAAATAAATGTACAGAATTTTCATTTTCGTAATTTACAAGAATATTTCCCGACTTTTTCGAATTAAGAAATAAAACAAAAAAAATTTACATCTTGATTTAACAAATAATAATCAGTTTTTAATTGTTACAAACTTGAATGCTATATATAATATATTAGACTAGTTTTTTTATAATAAAGAATTAATATCAATTTGGGCGTAATCAATCTTTTTTTTACAATTTTAACTAATAATTTGTCTTATACTTTTTAATTTCTATCATTATATGATGGATATTTGTAAGTTGCGGGCGTACATTCGGCGGCAAGATCTTATGAAAACGATTGTAATATTCCACTAACTGTGTCATTGCACGTTGAACTAGCGCGCCGCCAAGTATCAAACTGGGAAATGAATGCGACACCTCTCTATGTATCTCTTCTAATGCTTGTTTCCAATTTTTCGTAAAAGATTTTACCAGAGATAATGCTTTCTCTTCTTGTCGTTTCAAATCGTCAACTTGGCCCTTTTCGATTAAATTTTCCGATTCCTTCACTAGCTGAATTATAGCACCAAAATGTGGACTCAAGACTTCTTCGACAAATTCGGAAGAGCGCGCATTTAATTGCTCTCGAAAGCTTTCCGCTTCTTTCGAATTATCGCGTGTTCTCTCCTGTAATTGAATATAACACATATTATATTCAATTATTCTGTTTTGACATATTATACTTTTTTATGTCAAATAAAATCTACTCACCATTAACACTCCAAGTATTAGGTCATAATTATTGATAAGAAATACTAATTGCTGCATTCGATTCGAGAAAATAGCTGCCATTCTTAGTAAAAAACATTGTACAGCTTCTCTCAGTTCTGTCAATAACTGAGTTGCTTCTTCACAGGGGAATCCTTTGACTACGCTTATCATTGCTGCGCTAAATTCTGCATATCTTCTGGTAATCTAAAAATTTATATATTGAATAAGATTTCCAGTATTATACAATTGCCAAGATTGCCAGTATTATTAAGTTACTATATGATGTCAACAATATTATATTATAAATAATAAAATCCTTTGCACTTGGATACTTACATAATGTGGTCCAGTCTCCTTGTTAAATTTTGATGGATCACAGTTTCTTACGCTGTCTATGTTTAATCGAAACACATATTTAAATCTAAAAAGTAGATATTTTTGCAAAATATAATATAAAATATTAAGATAATTATTAGTGCAATTATTTTAAATATGTTAATTATTTTTAAGTACCTAGGCATAATTATGCTTATTAAACTGTCCCAATATTTATCCAAAGCTGGTACAGCTTTTTTGTGGCATGCCAGTTTATAATGCATCACCAAATTTAGACAGAGAAACAGAGCAATTGTATCGTAACAATCATCAACAAATGATTCCAAGTTCTTTTTCATGAGATTTAACGTTTTTCCCAAGACCTGTCAAAAGTGAAATATGTATATTTATCTTACACATCAAATAAATCATTATACATGATCAATTTTACCTGATAAAAAATATCTAATGCTTGTGTATTATAAACTTTAAAAAACTCGGTTAGGAATAAATATTCTCTGCAAGCATTATCAGCCACAGCATACTGTTCACTTCTGAATAGGGCTTCATAATAATACTGTAAAATAACAATATTAATTTACAAGATATAGTTTGAAAAATACATAATACATAATTATATATTCATATATATATTTATATCACCAGTATTTACTCGTGTCTTAGAAGCAGAGGCAGGGTGCGGAACAATTATAGGTGCTTCCAATTGAGACAAAACTTCACCCCTTGTATTTATCGAAAAGACAGTGCCTTTATGTTTTAACGTCGTTTTATGAAACATACCTCTGCCCACTGTGTCTTCAACTCCCATTAAATCATCCTTTGTTGCTCTTTCCTCAAACTTGCAAAAAATAATTATATTGTAATTTAATGTTTTGTCTCAAAATAGTCAAATAATATCAGTTCTGTTGCTTTGTCTACCTGTAATTTCATCAGCCTCGACGAATAGGACTTAAAATATGAATAATATATCTTGCTCATCGTATCAATGTATTCTCCAATGATTTCTTCTGCCACATTTCTCTCATTTGTCATAATAAACTCAAAAAAGAATTTATATTTTAACATATTATTCTGTGGCACTTGATAATTTGTCATTGGTTTTCTATATTTATAAATTTGTTCCAGCAGATATGTTCTAATCTTTGCCATTGCCTTTATTTTCAACTTCTCTAATATATCCTTTACATCTAGACAAGACTTTGCCTCCTTGAAACTTTGTTCCTTCACAAAGTTAATTTTATGATTCAGTGTTTGTAGCTGAATTAAAAATTCCTTTTCAGTCACAGGACAATCCATAATACCACTGAAACAAATTCATTGCATGTTTATCTTCGCATAACATTTTTTTATAAAAATTTATTAAACTGTCTTACACAATGAGAGCTTCAGACACAATCATGTCTTCGATAAATTGACTAAGAGGACCACGTATTGCTTGTCTATTAGATAGCTGCTGGCTCATAGCAACAGACTTACGCTGCAAATAAAGTATTTCGGAACTAATACTTCCTAAATCTAACTGAAAGTTCATCAACATTGATTCCATTTTCTGTAAGTAAAAAATAATATATCAGTCGCTACAAAATGTTTTCATTTTTATTCATTAACAATATTCTATAAAAAAAATATGTGAATCATATTTGGTGACATATTTAATATTTATTTTCCATTTCAATTATATACATGTATGCCAATAATATTTAATAATGGAATTGTCATCAATGAATTCCAATTTAATCTAACCTCCAAGATATTGTCGCAATCGGCAATCTGATTGTGTAGACTAGCTATATTCTCGCTTTCTTTTATGTAATCTTGAATTGATTTATTTTCGACCTCCTTAAGTTCCTTTTCGATTTGTTTGGAATATTGCCGTAGATCGGTGCCAGTTTTGAGGACTTCTTGAACGACATCATCTCCAAGATCCTGAGGTAGTTGTCCTTCGTTGTTGTCAAAAATATCTATCTCGGCCATTCTTAAATCTTTTGATATACAACTTAAACAATAATTAAATACTTCATTTACAAAGTATTTCAATCACTTTGCATCATATGTGAACAAACGCATCATCAAAGACGCAGCAGCAAGCGGTATGACGGAAGGAATACCGCACATATGCGCAAACCACGTACATACATGTGAGCTCCGCGTATCGTTCTAAATAAGATATCTTTAGGACGTCCTAAAAACGTCTTTAAAAAAGACGTTTTTTAATTTCTTTAATAATTGGAATTTCAAAATAAAAATTTTGCAATAAAAAACTTTCCAAAAATTCCAAAAAAGACGTTTTAACTAATTGTTTTACGAGCAGCCTAGCACTGTCAAAAGAAGCGAAAATAAGCATGTAGAAAGGTTACGGTTATCCGTTGGAATAACCCGAACGCTCCATTTTAGCTAGGATTTTTAGCAATTTGCAATAGGAACACATAATGATATAAGAGCTCGCTCGAGTAGACGGAAGTGGTCCCTGAGTTCGGCAGAGTGGAGCTTATAGCGTTTTCGATTATACAGGATTTGAACGACCCAAGATTGGTTAATGACGTCATTGCAACCTCTCCACCAATGAAAGACTTGCATTTATAGTAAAATAGTGATTGATCAACCCTAGATCGTTCAAACCCCGTTTATTCGAAAACGCTATTAGATAGGGGAGTTCTCTTTGGATCACTCTTAGGAAAAAATTATATGATTGTTGCCTTGCTAGCAAAAACGCTTTAGGGCCTATCCAGACAAACTTGCATAATCACATAAACATATGCATAAGGAAATTGATTGGTCCATTTTCTTATGCATTTGCTTATGGACCAAT